CAATTTTGGTGTACCAAATCAAAAGGTTTTTCGCTGAAATTTTGTACGCTTAAAGCTCAACATATCAGCACTCAAATGGACTAAAAAAAAGGCACGAAAATATGGACAGAAAAAAAGTGTAACAAGGTCAAGAATTTCGGTCAACAGTCCTCCCTTCTCTCGGTTTCCCTCTTTTCTCTTCCTCTTCTAGTTTCTACCATTATAACTCATCAAAATCACACTCACACACACATTAACATCTTAACAGCCCTCAAACAACAATGGTGGGAGTTCATAAAGCCCACATCAACCAACCAAATTCAACTAATAACAACAATAAGGAAGCTACAAGCTTCAGAGCTAGAAATGAACCAAGAAAGCAAGGATTTTGTGTGTTACCTCTTGAAGCTATGAAACCTAGCAAAATCAGAATTTTCCTTCCCAAATTTCACCACCATCAACCACCCAATCCACCCTCAAAGCCACAAAATCAGCTCCTCCACTTAGCCAGGATGAAAACCCACAAGTTGATGAGGAACTTTGATGGATTAGGTGCAAGGTTTGAGCAGAAAAATTGGAGAGCTCTTCCTTTATTTTTTTTCTTGTGAGGGCCGAATTTAGAGAGAGAAAGATGAGAGAGATTGTTTCAGAATTTTTTAAGTGTGTTTTTGGGGAGAAAAGGAAGCTTAAAGGCTAAGTTTTCAAGGTCAAACCTCGCTAGGTCCGAATAGGGTTTCGCGCGGCCACTTTTCGCACTCGTTTGCTACTTTTGTGCACTAGACCTCCGAGGTAATTCCTCTAGTGCATTAATAGTACATTCTTTGTGACGCCCCCACTTCTCCCTAAGGTGAACCAAAGGGTATCCGCGGGACGCCTGCCCAACTCTCGCCAGGACTCAAGCGATCTCATTCCAGCTTAACACAAAATTATACAACAACACGAGATAAAGTAGGGAAGTACGGAAAGCTTCCAAACTTAACAATATACAATAACCATCCAATCCTTACATTGGATTTCCAAAAGTTACATTAATACTCCAAATATACCTATAACAGCCCAAAATGTCTAGTCAATATACATTAGAAACCCTAAGCCAAAATATAAAAGGGGGGTTTCTCCAAGTTCATTCCCGGTCCAGTCCTATTAAGGAAAACAAATCTACAGGGTGAGCAAAACGCTCGTGAGGCCAAGAACACACATGCAGGCACATAGTTCAGGTAACAAGCCCAAGTAATATAGTTCAAGTGATAACTTGCAAGTAATTAACAATGCCAACAAAATGTAAACAGAAACAATTCAAGGATATGGTAGCTCTCAGGAGTTAAGTTCCACTTGTTTTGTCGATGTCATTCGTATATCTCCCCGCGATGACTCTCCGTCAACCGGATTGATATTTCCAATCCGTAGATCACCACTTACTTCTCATCCGTCCACCATATACCGCTCCGGGCCCGCTCGACATTTAGAAGGCTATACTCCACGAGTATGCCAAACAAGATCTCTCAAATAGATCAAGCTTATCATGTAATTCTCATGGCTCACCAAGGTTCCCGACCAAGCCCATGTCGGCTCGAGTCCCAAGGTCGGCCTATGAGTTTGGGCGTCCCCCATGTATCATGTAAGTGTCGAGGAGATTCACTCCAACGACGTATGCAGCCATAGCATACCATGTCATGTATTCAAGCATTTGACAGGTTTAAGTATGTATTTCAGGCCATGTAAACCAGGCAAACCATGTTAAGCATGAGTCATTTGTTTCAAATGAGAACGAGTGCGATAAAGTACACACTTGGCTCCATTTTTCAAAACCAAGTAGGCTAAGCATGTAATCAGGTAAGCCAAGCATGTAATCAGGTAAGTCAAGCATGAATCAAGGCCATAGAGTTCAAGTAGCCATACACTTGACACTCACCAAGTAACAAGAGCAAGTAGATTCAATTGAAGTTCAAGCGTCCACTGTTGGATCCTCTTGAAGGTCCTCGTATGCGCCTGAGCAAATAATAATAGACTATCATTCACAAACCCCTACTATTAAAGAAGATCGTACCATAGTACAATCTTAGAAAGTCTCGTGAAACGAGCCTTAATTATCCTAAATGGAGGCTCTCAAGTGGGGTTTCAAAGTACAAGAGAAATTGAGTTTTCATCTTGGAAATCAAGTATAAAACGTTCAAGTAATATCGCAGGAATAAGGAGTACTTGAAAAACTCCATTTCCTTGGAATTCGGAAAATTTCAGTTTTGATACGATACATTAGAAAAATCGTATCTCACGCTTTACAAGACGAAAATTGGAAAACTTAGTACCGTTGGAAACCTCTTCCAAAGTACTAAAAGTTCATAGAATACAGTTTTTCATGATTCCAGACGGAAAGTATTCAAAAATTGGCTCAAAGTTGCTGTTTTGAACATGAAGACAGCTTTCGGGGTTGGTTTTTGGCTAACTTTGGAAATTCGGAAAAATTCACCCATTGCGAACCAGCCTTTGAAATTTGGAACTCAATTAGAGTTACAAACAAGGTTTAAAACAAAGCAATCGGAACAAGAATTGGAGTTTTGAGCACCGAGATACGGTAGCTCAAAGTTGCTGAAATTTGGAACCTGTTTACCATTTTCCAGATTTAAATCACTGTTTTTGGGACATCGGATGAACATCAAAAAGAACTTGAAATGGCACCAAATTTGGTAGGTTTATCGTACCATATAAGGGCTATTCTTCTACCAAATTTCACAGGAAAATTCATTCGGGAAGTTGGTTAACGAAATCACGAAAACTCCAAGAACTTCAAGGCAAATCTGCCTTGTATGTTCCGTTTTCCGTTTTCAAAACGTTTGGCCAACAAAGTACCTCAAGCACGGTCCATGTGCATAGAAAATGTCTAAGAGGTATCCAATACACATTTTTTAGGTGATTAATCACCAAAATTTTGGATAACAAGTCCCAAGTCATTGTTAGTTTCAAATCTGTCCAAAACACTGTTTTCGTTCACAATGTCAGTTTTGAATTTCGATCATAAATCACTCAATTCAACTCAGAATTGAGAGTGATTGGTGGTGTTAGAAAATAGACTCAAAATGCTATACTTTCTCAGAAGAAACCATTTTCAAAATCTGTCCATAACCAGCTCATTCGTGAGCATCAAGTTGCAGCTCACGTGCTGCCTTCCAGGAAGCAACGAAACAGGACAGTGGATTTCAAACGAATGGTTTGGCTTACTTAAGTGGAACCAGGACATGCATTTTATACCAACGGAAAGCTGGGAATGTCTAGTTTCCAATTCTGCAAACAGCACTCGATTTCAACATCGGAGCAACAAGTTATGGCCAAAACAAGAAGACTGCCTACGCAATCCGGGGACAAAATTCCAGTTTTCTAACCTTTCGAAATTTCAACATTTGAGTGACCAAATCAAGTTATTTTTCAATGAAACTTTTTACACAACCAATATAACATATAAGCAACATAAAAAAGCCATTATAACCTCAAAATTTTGCACAAAAGTGGTCGGACAAGGCAGGGGTAAAACGGTCACTTTTGCTCCAAGCATCTCTTTTGATTCTCTACCAACAATACAACATTAATCCACTAATTTAAGCACTAAACCACCATTAATTTCATCATCAATCATCAAATCAGTCCTTCCATCAAAAGTGGGAGTTCATAGAGCCCACACAACAAAAATCCACCATAAACAAGATTACCCACATGCATACAAGAGTTTATACGTGAAATTCTACTTCCATAAACCAAGATTTGAAGGTTGGATCATCACCTACTTGTGTGATGAACAAAGGCAGAATTTCGGCTCCCTCCTTGTCCAAGAAAACAGTGGATTGCAGCTCTTCTTTGTAGCTTAATGTGATCTCCAAGTATTAAGCTAAGTGTGTGTGAAATTTGGAAGGAATTGGATGAAGATTTTGTGAAGGAAAATTTTGAAGAACTTGAGTTGTTTTTGTACAAGGATGGCCGGCTGCTTTGTGAGGAGGAGAGAGAGTGTTTTGGTCTAAATTTGGCTTCCTAAGGAAGCTTCATTTGTGTGGCTAGAATTGGTGCAAAAGTCAATTCTCTCTCGCGCGCGCACGCGCGCGTTTCGTGCTCAATTCCTCTTGCATTTGTTTCACTAGTGCACTAAACCTCTCATGCACTTGTATTCATATTAATATTATTCACTCTTAATTATCCCAAAATAAGGGTCTAAAGTCCCTCAATTAAATCGCACGTGTAAAAATATGTATCTCCAAATTAAGCGCGATAAAGCGAAACCTCCAAGAATTTCTTATAACGATAGTACTAATAACTATCACTTGAGTACTTAAACATAAAATTACCTATTTTAGGACCATTATACAAGTCTCCAATTTTCCAAACTTATAATACCCTCAATCGGGTAAAATTTCCAAACACGTTTTCACTATTTTCATTAAACGAGCTTCCAAAAATTAATTTTTGAAACAAGTCACTTTAAAAATATAATGAAGCTATAATTCCATGTATTTAGATCTAATGAGGATAGAAAATAATATTTGGGGCAACTATCCAAATAAATAATTAAATGAGCCAAAAATAGGTTTTTTTTAAAATAAGAATTTTACGAGTCCTCACATTCTTAGTAGTCTAATATCAAATTCTTAAATCTCCAATTAAGCAGATTAATGCGCCTGTCGGGGCCATTTCGGCACGCGGGCGCACAAGGGTCGAACTTAAGGAATTCTCGCTCGAACTTTGAAACTTCAACTTATTCGACTCTAAAACTTTAAAATATGATAATTCAAGTATATATAACAATCAAAATCACCATAAATAATTCAACTCGAATAAATTTGGTCATTAAAATAATAATTATTTAAAGAACCAATTGTTTAGACTCATTTTCCAGAAATTCATGCAATTTGGGAAAACTTGAGTAACTCACATGCAAAAATACTTTTAAATGACCAATTTAAGAATATTTTGCAATAATTAAAATATGAGTCCTCACATCCTCTCCCCCTTAAGAGAATTTCGTCCTTGAAATTCATACCTTAAACTACCTCGGTCGACCCCAGAGTCTGTCGACCAATAGAGGCATATGTTCTAGTTGGCACTTGTGGTCGGTTCCCTCCTTCAGTAGTTCGTTCAGAAGTAGTTCCATATCCTTGTCGATTATTACTCTCTCGTGGTTGTTTTCTTGGGCAGTTGCTAACCTGATGGTCTGCACTCCCACAACGCAAACACTTTCGCTCCTTCACCCAGCAGTTATTTTCGGTGTGGTTTCCTTTTCCACAGTATCCACAGATTGGTTGAAAACTCATGGCTTGACTTCCCTGTGGCGTCACCCTTGATTGACCCCTTTTTATTTGAGTTCCTTGTGACGGAGTTCCTTTTAGTTGCTGCATCTGAGAAGAAGATGGAAGTGGTAGTCTCACCCCACCAGCTCCTTTTCCAACTTTAGGTGGTGGTACAGTGTTTCTAGATGCCTCAGGGTGACTACTACTAGGTGCATCTCTTTTCCGTACTTGAAAAACTCTTAATTTGGCTTTTGAAATCTCAACCCTTTGGGCTTTCTCAAGGACATCACTAAACGTTTCGATTTGGGCCGCTGCGAGACCATCTTGAATTTCTATATTGAGTCCCTGAATAAACCGCCTTATTCTCTTTCGCTCTGTAATTACCAATCCTGGGGCAAACCTAGACAACTTCGTAAACTCAGTTTCATATTCCGCCACACTTGAAGTTCCTTGGCGAAGCTTTATAAAATCATCCTCTCTCTTTTCTTGGACTAGTGGTGGAAGGAATTTTTCATTAAATTCTAGGACAAAATTCATCCAAATTCTCGGAGTTTGTTCCCTTTCCCACTTATTTCTTATAACATTCCACCATGCTCGAGCCGGTCCTTCAAGTTGGAACACAGCAAAGTTTACTTCTCTCTCCTCGGAATAATCTAGTGCATCAAATATATTCCTTATATTCTCCAACCAATTCTCAACTATATCGGGGTCAGGACCCCCAGAAAATTTAGGAGGGCAAAACTTTTGAAATCCCTCTAAAGCCCTATCCTCCCCTATTTCTTGGTTTCCAAGTTGGTTCAGTTGTCCAATTCCCTGGCCTTGTTGGGGTACCAATCGCTCTAGTATGTCTGTCATGCGAGTCAAAACTAACCCAATTTGGTTTTCTACCCCAACCCTAGGTTCAACGTTTCGGTCGGCGGTAGATTCTCTATCTCCTCCTTGATTTTGAGGTCATCTGGGTTGACGCCCACGTCGTCGTCTCCTAGCTTCTATTCTCACAACTAATCTATACATGTATGTGTAAATGGCTCACTAAACCAAAAATTATCTATGCACACGTGTATTTAACAATTTTCAAAATGAGCAATAAAACTATATCCACAGATAACATTTTCACAATTGACAGACACATTCACAGTTAACATAGAATTTAAACTAGTCTCAATTAAGTTGCATGCCATTACAAAATTAGAGCTAATCAAGTCATAATAAAAGTTGAAATCAAAGGTCATTCATCCAAAGTTTACAAATCTTTAGCAAGCCAGCCAATAACTAAAGTACATTCATCTCCAAGAATAACCAACCTTGAGATTTCTAGTTAAAGCCTCAAGTCCCATGTTCAAACTCAGAGAATATGTACAACTAGCTCACTTAAGCATCAAGTGGAAACCAAGTCAATTCGTACTAGGACTGGCCATCTCCAGATGCAAATCAACTCAATCCCCACTATTCCTCAAAGAAAATTTCACAAGAGGTCTCACTCAAGCAATCGATCCAAGATTCACATTCAGTTTTATACATATACTTACGAAGATTACAAGCTTAGAGGATACCTTGAACCTTACGATTTACCCAGTCAAATTTGATCATATAAATATCAGCTAGTACCAATGTTCAAGAAACTCAACTATCACTTTTCAAATCAATCTCACACAATTCTCTTCAGTTTCCTATAATATAAGAAACCCTAGTGTGCAAACCCACTTAAAAACAAGCACTTCAATATTACTCAATCAATCATCAAGTACTAAGATCACATTCCACTTACTAGACAATCAAACTCCACAGTCTGGCATCCTATACTTAAAGCCTAGGATACACTACAAAAATGTAGAGCCTAAGCTCTGATACCACCTGTGACAGCCTCACCTCCCCGTAAGGCGAACCAAAGGGTTCGGCGGGCCGCCTGTCCAGCTCTCGCCGGGACTCACTACAAAACTCAAGCATGAATATAATCGATGGTTCTTAAAAGCTCAAACGGAGTATGTTATATCCACTAGTCCAACATACCAAAGTACAAGTCCAATACTTCATCTAAATTTTCATAATAATAACTTAAGTACAATCCTTATGTTTGCAATTCAAATCATTCTTACAAAAGTATAATCCCCAAGATATCATGAGATTTACATTCACAAATCTTTCAAAATACCATAAAGTTCATAAATCTTTCAAAATAACCATTACATTCCACAAAGAAAATCTATCACAACCCAAATAAAGGATAATCCACGGTACTCCAAATCCTTGTGCTTGAGTAACTATCCTTCTCGAGCCCTGCATAGTGTGACGCCCCGAAAGGTATAAGTGTGAGAGCCTGTAATTTTGTTTTAAAGTACTCGATTTTATTTTTTTTATTGCACGTTTTTCCATATTTTATTGATGTGAGAAATTGGGAAAATAATTTTTATGAGTAAATATAGTTTTTGGATGATTTTTCTAGTATCGGTTAGTTTTTGAGAAATTAAAAGCGTATTTTGAACGTGGGACCCGCAAGTGCGGTAAATGCATTATATTTTTGACAACTTGTTGGAATTTTGTATTAAGTGATATTATTTTACAAAGTGTTAAGATATTTGTATTGGAGAGACAAAAAGATAAGTTTTAAACCAAAAGGTGACATGTGTCACCTTCTTATTCAAAGTTGGACTTTGACTAATTTGCATCACCTTTACTAAACCTCAAAAATTGACCAATTTCTCTCCATTTTAAGCTTGTCTTGGCCGAACCTCTTGGAGCAAAAATACAAGAAGAAAGCCTTCAACTCCAACTCCATTTCTTGCTTAATCTTGTGAATCAACCGTTAAACTTTCAAATTTCTCCACAAAAGTCACTTGTTTAGGAAGATTGAAGGTAGTGGTGGAGTGATTAGAGAAGGCAAAGAACTAAGCCATCAACTTTCTTGATATTTCAAGGTTCATGTCTAGCAATCCTTTCTTTGTTCTTGATTATGCTAAATTAGTGACTTGTGATGGCCAAAGAGATGGTTTGATGGATTATATCTTGAGTTGTGGTTGACTTGATGAAGTTTTATTATTTTTGGGGATTTTTCTGTTTTAATATGAACATGGTTGTGTGGCTATCTATGATGATTGGAAATGGTATATAATGATTCTAGAAGGTGGAAAAAGTGGACAATTGCAATCAATTTCTGTTTTGGAAGAAATTTCAGAAAATTAGGTTTTGTGAAGGAACATTCTGCCCGAATTTTTAGCTCCTAGTTAGAGGCCGAATTGGCATTGGCTTAAAACACAAAAGTTGTAGGGAATGACATTTTAGAGGTGACTACAAAATTTCAGGTCAATCGGAGTAGCGTAGAGTGAGAAAAGTCGAAATTACTATTGCTGTTCTGGTTTTACCCGAATGTAAGAATTGCGCCTGTAATTGGTTGTTTTGGCTGGAATTGCTTCCGAATTGGCTGTTGAGGCCTTCTGATGAAATTTAGCCATGTTTCTTATCTTTCATCTGGTTTTGGAATTTCTGGATTTGGACTGGGATAGCCTAATTTATGATGTTTCCGCTTTGCTTTTGACATGTAATTATTGGAGAATTTGATGTAATATTTGAGTTTTATCTTGTAATCTGTTTGAGGAATGTAGTGAACGACTGAGTCCCGGCGAGAGCTGGGCAGGCGGCCCGCCGAACCCTCTGGTTCGCCTTAGGAGGAGGTGGGGCTGTCACACATAGAACTAAAATGTTTTTGGGGGTGAGCTAAAGCTCAATGAGGTTTCAAAAGGGAAAATCAAGTATTTATAAATCAGTGCGTAAGTGCTACTTTGAAAACACATGTAGAAGTAGTACTTTTGCTGGTAACTTTACTGTGAGTACAACTCATAAATCATTTAAAATCACTAACGTTCATTTGGAATGAATGACCATATAAATATATTTTCATGAATTTTAGTCAAACAAATAGTGGCTCGTCCAACTAGAAGAACATTACAAGGATTGCTTCGTCTCAGAGATTAATGCTCATGAGGAGTCTTACCCGAGAAATGTCAACTAGGAGAGCAATAACAGTATTAATAGTAAAGCAAACACAAAAGGATACAGTACTCGGTCCACTTCCCTTCCTTATAACTCCCATCGGTAACTCCTTCGGTTGACTGGCGATCACCTTATCCCTCCAGCAGTAATACTCGAGTAAACCAAAATACAGTGCCCAGGGTTATCAACCTATCCGACCGAGTCTGCTTCTGGTTCGAATAGGTGATAACGAAGGGGGGAAAGGCCTTGTTCAGCCGATGTGATAAAGTACACATGGCCTACAGCATATGCAAATAACATATAAACAATGAAATATCAAACAGTTAAGTGATACAACAACAGTTAGGTCGAGTGCGATAAAGTACACACTTACCTAGTAATAAGTATTTATCATTCAAGTGAACAAGATTCATCAAGTGTTTGACCACTTAGGCATGTAAGAAGCACTTATCAATTCACATCACGTATATATATATGCAATTATACAAACAGTGGTTATAAAAGTTTGAGAAGCAATTTTTTTGTGCAAAACAGGTCGGAATCCCTCACCGTAATCCGGAGCAAAGCAAGAGCAAAAGCAGGAAATTAAAAGAGCTTCTTGGTATCCTCTGGATCACCTGAGATTAATCACAATCACGAATTACCTAGATGCTCAATCAAGGCGAATAAAAGAAAACCTCTTAGATACACACACTCAAGAGCCTCAAGCTCAAACAAATCGAAATAGGAAGTTTTCACTTAATCATTGGAATAATAACCAAAAGGAATTTAAAAGTCCCATTTCTGAGTTAAATCGTGGCAAGGACTATCAATTTCAAAAGAAGAGTAAAATGCTTAATTTGGCACGGAAATCGAGAAAGGAGAAAAATGTGTTCGTACTAGAAAATTTTCAATAAAAGCCCAAGTGCTAGAATATAAGTGAAAATTCATGTTTTCTAAACTTACGAAGTCAAAGTTTCCTAACAATCACTTTTTCCATAATAAATATGGAAGTTAAAGTTCTAACTTTCAAATAGGAAATTTAGTGAAATTCCTCAAGGATTTCTCTAGTTAAAATGTTCAAGGCCAAATTTTCAAGTGTTTCGGTTTATCGAAACCGACATTCAAAATAAAGTTTCAAATTATAAGTGAGCACGTTTTCACCATAAAAATAAGTTTGGAATATCCCAAGAGTCTCAAAAGAGCAAGCAGGTTCAAATTGGAAATTTTCACTTTTACGCGTGAAACTTTGAAAAATCGGTCTGGAAGTTCAGAAAGTCCAAAAATGAAAAATTTTACACCGTCGGAAACTTCATGCGAAGCATAACAACTTTGTAGAAGACCGTTATCCAATCAGAAGCAAGTCAATTTTTCAAGTGAAATTTCTGTTCATAGAAGATAGGGCAAAACAGTCCCCACTTTTCCAATAACCTTGGATTTTTGTCAAAAATCATAGAATCAAAACCATCCTTTGAAATTTGATATGCGTTCCATTCCAGTTTTCAAAAAAAAAAAGAATGGAACTCAATTCCGACGTTCCTAGCTCAAGAAATAAAAGTTTGAAGTTCGCACAAGCTTAAGGACTGATAAGCTTTGTTTTCCAGAATTTCAATTCTGACACACTTCAGTAAAAAGGCCATATCTGGCTCTATATTTTCTCAAATCAGGAATGGTTGGTGGCATTCAAAACTAGATTGACAAGGCTACATTTATACAGAAGAAATCATTTTCAATATCCAAACCCAAGTGGTTCAAAAATCAGCAACAAGTTGCAATTTCTGGACTGTCCTCGGGTGAACAGTGGCTGTCAATCAGCAAACTTTCAAGACTTACCACGGATCACTCGGGATGAACTAGAAAATGAGCTTGGTACCATTTTAAAGCTATAA